CAGCTCATTGCTTGGTCAAGAGACATGACTAAGCCTTTATGACATGGAAGTAGCTGGTATACCTTAGCATGTGCTGGAACCTGCTAGAAGGATTGGATGGTCAGGTGACCTGCTGTGCATGGCTGTGCATGACCTCATATGACCTCATCCTTGGTCATATGACCTGATCACCTGACTAGGCTGAGTAAGCAAGATGTTATAGCAGGTTCCACCACAGAGGTATAAATATAAGGCCTACTCTGCCTGGGGACTGTCTCTTCAGACTTGGTCTTTTAGGATCATCCACAGGTACCTATACTGTAGATAGGTCTTAGTCATCAGGTCTACTCCACTTCCTTGTTGCCTGCTTAGACTCTTGGCACCCTTAGGTGAGCAGACTAAGTCAGCCTGTGTTGCCCTAACACCTACATAACCTCTGACACTGATACCCACCTCCAAACTTCAGCACTTTGGCATTTTGACACTTGAACACTTTGACTTCTTGTAGCATATATACACCTAGTTGCAGTTAGATTTCCCAGCGCACATATGTGCACTGACACCACATTGATGCACACTCCATCTTTATACCATCATGGACATCTTCTATCAAGGCACTCCCATATCCTCTGCCCCTGTCTCCCCATCATTGTTTTGCTCTGTAGCAGATGCAGATGCCTCAGGCCTGCCAGACTCATGAAAACATGGGAGGCTTGTGGATGGCATTGTGAATCAACTGTTTGTGTGCTGCTGCTGCTGCCTTTGGTCATGTGAGATACACCTCTCAATAAAGCAAAGCAGGACCCCAATCATTCAGGGATCTCCTGCTGCTAACCCTAACCCTAACTAGTCAATACTCTTCTAATTAGCCCACTCTAGCATACCAATATGACATCTCCCTCCAGTTCCAAATCCCCAAAGAAACCCCCTTTTCCCGCACCGAGCATCCGTCTCCAACTATACCGGTCCAAGAACCGCACAATTCTCTCCCTCCCTCTAACCAAAGCCCGTTCCTGGAAGGCGAGCCAACACCCCCTACCCTCATCAACCCCTGCAGCCCACTAACCTGCTGCTCGGCGTCCAGGCACTACAACACGAGCTAGCCTCTCTCTTCCCTACCAAACGCGCGCCGTTCGTCCTCCTCACTTTGCTAAACACAGTCGTTCCCCCAGGACGCTGGTCACTCTTCCTCCTAGAAGGAGCGACATTCTACGTCATCTCCAACTCGAGATCTTGTTCTTTCCTTCCAGCAGCTGCCTTGCCCTCTAACGCCAACCTATCCCGGTTGATCCCCCTGCCCCCACCCGAGAGCTGGACGATCTGCTTCTCTGCCGCTTGCGCCATAACCGCATTCCGTTTCCTCCGCCAGCCCACTGTGGGGGAAGCGCTCGCAACCTACTGCAAGCGGTACTCAAAGGACGAGGCGACAATATCTGTCATCCTCGATGGACGGGTGCTGAAAGCTGAGGATAGGGAGCAGAGGCTGGATGATAGGGCGATGCTGTATGTTTTATACCAGGCGGCGGTTCGCGGGCAGAAGACGCTGGATCTGACGACTCGGACCGAGCACGAGTTAGGCGCGATCGTCTCTTTCTCCTCATAGTGGGATGATGTGCTAGGTGTGTGAATAGGGGAACTGGGGAATCTCGCACTCTTACCCTGGACTAGTGTCGGGCTTCTGGTGCGAATGGAGCGCATATATGCGCCTTGAATCTCCCTGGTGGCTTACTGGTGTTCTCCTGGACATGTACCGTTTCCAGCGATGGAAGATCAGGATGAAAGGACGTGGCTGGCGTGTTCTGTCTGATACTGATGTCTGCACTGCTCTATCTGTAATATGATGCATGTTTTGTAGCTTCTTGTTGTGCCTGCTTCGGCCATACACGCATATACCTGCCTCGGTGCTCTTGCTACCCTCGTCGGTCATGATTCAGTCCAACCCCCGGGAAGATATACACTATTACTACTACAAGATATAGATACACGATACTCCGAAGCCCATCCACCCCCAACACACAGCGCCTAAATCCCAAAGAGAGAGAAATCACCCCAGCCACCGCCGTAAGATGTCTATCGTGAGAGTCTAGGTGGGCTCGGGCCCTGCTGGCCAGTTTCCTTCATCTCGCGCAGCTGGTTCAGACGCCTCTCTGTCTGTTCCTGCTGTGCTCGTAGCTGGTCACTGTGCGCCGTTAGGGTATGGCATACGAAGGAAGGGTGAAGAAGACGTACATCTGTGCTCGGAGCGTCGCTTCCATCTCCTTCGCACCCTGCCGTTCTCGCTTGATCTTCTCCGCCGAAGCCTTCTCCCGGGTCTCGTACTCCCTCACACGAGCAGCGAATTTGGACTCAGTCATGCCCTTGTTCTCGTTCGCCTGCATAGCGGCTTCTTCTGCTGCTCGGAGGCGATTTTGGAGCACTGAGAGTTGCTTTTCGGCGTTGACGGCGCGGGCGCTGAGAGCGCGGAGTTCTGAAGGTGCCTCGGAGGTGCCTTTCCTTATGGCGTTCACCTGGTTCATGAGCTCCGTGTTGGACGCCTGTGCGATGTCAGGAACGCCGCGAGAACCTTTCGTATGGACTCACCTTGAGAGCATCTAATTCGCCTTCCTTGGTGCTATACTGCCTACGCCACTTGGCTTTCGCCTCTGCAGCTCCCTTCAAAGTAGTCTCGAAACGATCAATCTGTTTCCAGCGCTGATCAAGCTGCTTCTTCAGATCACTGTGAACCACAATCAGCACGGCTCCCTCAAATAGAGGAACTGACATACCCCATCTTCTCCGTGAAATGCACTTCTATTTCTTTACACCGCTTGTCGAAGTCGAGCTGTATCTGACTGACAGACTTCAGCCGGCCCATGAGCTTTTCGTGGAAGATCGGGAAGTTGGTGAAGGGCTTAGGATCTGGTTGGCCAGCATTCCGCTGTTGCTTCATCAGCTCATTTCGGTAGTATAGGATAGCCGGGTACTTACGGAACTCTTATCGACTCCGAGAATCTCTTCCATATAATTGAACACAGTCATGAGCAGCGTGTTCCGCTCAGCGATCTGCTCGCGGAAGCGCTGTTCATTCGAGATCAAGCTACGCTCCGACTTAGACGAGCGCGTCTCAAGGTCGTTCACGCGTGCACGGTAGCTCTCGCGCTCTACTTCGGCAGCCTTGCGTGCTTGCTGCTCCATATCCAGCTTATCGGACAGGTTGAGCTTGGTCTGCGTCATTGCCGCTAGTTGGGAGCTAATGTCACGGCTGCTGGCATGCTGCGCCTCGTTTAGAAATGCCGTACAGTAGTGACGAGGAGAACATACCAAACCAGCGATAACATTTTCCCTCTCACGAATGATGTCTTCCCGCTTATCCAGCTCCTTCCTGACCCTCTCCAGATCCGCTTCGCACCTCTGCAAATCCCGCTTAACGCGATCCAGCTCGAGCTGCATGGCGAACTGATCAGATGTTCTGCTCTCGCTAAGCTTGCGTGTTTCGGTCATGGCAGACTCCAGCTTATCAAGGTCGTCTTCCTTCTCCGCTAGACGGCCTTCGGTATCCCTGAGCTGAGTACGTAGGCGATCGTTCACCTACAACGCCTCAGCAACTTATAGCCCCAAAAAGCGAGGGACATACAAGGTCTTTATCAGCCACCACCCTACCCCAATGTTCCTCCATCTCCTTTCTCTCCTGTTCCCATTTCGCCTGCTCGATCTTGAGCGTTTGCCCACCTTGACGCTCCTCGTCAAGGTCGGCTTCCAGATCCTCGATCTTCGCCTCCAGTTCGTCGATCCTCTCCTTGGCTTCGAGGAGCGTCTGCCTCGCTTCCTCATACAGTTCCTGCACGTCCTCAAGATCGACCCGGTTCTCTCCCAATTTCTAGTAACAATCATTCAGTCCACGCTGCGCACCATGCAGGGTGAAAACGTACATCTTTAAGAGCGTTCACAAGTTGCTCATGCATCTCCTCCGTCTCAGCCTTCTCTCGCTCAAGAGCACGCATCTGTTCTTCAAGTGCCTCGAAATCTCTCGCCTGCCCATCTAGCTCCTCCTCCAGTTCCTGGACTCGCTCGCCATACTGCACTCGGTCAGTATCTCACCCAGAGATAAAACAGTTCACCCACCTTCTGAACATCCTCGTTAGCCGCTTTGAGCTCCTCTTCCCGCTCCGCAAGTTCCTGCTCCATCTTCTCCTTATCCCCAGCCCAGAGATCGACCTCCTCATCAAACCGGTTGTGCAAGTCTCTGAAGTCCGATTCGAGGGCTTCGAGCCGGTCCTGTGACTCCTTCGCTTCCTGCTCTCGCTGGTCAACGACCTAATAGGTATAAGCACAAGCCAAGATGAGTGGCAGCAAGAAACGCACATCCTGGAGCTTCTCAACACGCGCGTTAGCAGCTTCCAGCTCTCCCCGCCAGTTCTCCTCAATCTTGTACAGCTCTTCCTGCTTCTGCTCGTCCCTGTTTGCAAGTTCTTCTTCCATCTCGTCACACTCGCGTTCCTTGCGCTCCAGCTCGATCTGGGTAGAAGCCAGCTGGTCCCGCAGAGAGTTGCAGGTCTACACGGTGTAAGCACATAATCAATCCTAAGGAAACTGAACGCACATCCTGGAGCCTCTCCTTACCCTCTCTCTCCTCCTCCATCTCCGCCCTGCTCTCACTCCTATCGGCAAGCTCCATCTCCCTTCTCCGCGTGAGCTCCTCAAGCCCCAACTTCGCTGTCTCCAACTCATCCTCCAGCCTATCCCTCACCTCCTCACCCCTGTCCAGCTCCTGGGCCTGCTCATCCCGTTCAACAGCCAGCTGTTCATTCGCCTCCTCCAGCTCGGATATCCGCTGCTCGTACTGCTGCTTAAGCCGGTCCAGACGACCCTTGCCGGAAGACACGTCCCCAAGCGCTCGCATCTGGTCCAGCTCCTTGACGTTCTCCTCCAGTGCGCCCTGTGCTTCCTCTAGCGCCAACTCGAGCTGTTCGTTCCGGACATTCAGCTCTGCGTACTTCTCCGCGAGGGCCTTATCCCCCGCCGTCGCAGAGCCATTCATCGCCGGACCTCGCCGTCTCAATTGTTCTTTCAGTTCTTTAAGTTCCTCCTCGAGCTTACGCTCTCGCTCTCGCCCGGTGGCCTTTTGTAGCCGATCCACAGTCTTCTCAAGCTCGAGAATGAGTTTCTTTTGCTTCTTGAGTTCCATACCGCGCGATTGAACTTCGATCTTGAGGTTGATATTCTGCTTGAGAGCAGCGTCGATTTGCTCAGGGGACATCTCCGCGAGTCGTTCTTCTAGAAAATGTACTTTGAGCTTGAGGTTGAAGTTTTCCTTCTCGAGACGATCTGCAGCCTTGACCAACCATCAGCACCGCAACCTCCGGGGTGGGAAGGTAGCCAATACATACCTTCTCCTGTTCACGGAGTGTCAATTGCCCCTTCTTTCCCTTCTTCCCCTCTTTCTCTTTCTCCCCACCAGCCGAACCGGGCTCATCCCATATCCCACTCAGTCGGCTACTGCTCAGCTCCGTCGCATTCGGCATATCCTCATCACTCGCATCAGGTTTCGTACCCGCACGAGGGGTAGGCTCGTCCAGCACAGACAGAAGGCCATTCTTGCTCGCGCGTCTTGAACCATTTGCCGGGGTAAGAACCGGTTCGGAGGACTGAGTCGAGGAGCTCGTCATCCTACTAGCCAAACCACTGGGTATGGAGAAACCGCTCGTAGGTCTGCGTGGTCCTTGCTGGCGAGGTGAAGGTGGTGGAGAGTGGAAAGATGACATCTGGGTACCGAGGGTGACTTCTGGCAAGTTTGAATTCGTGATTTCGCTCATTCCTGGAGTGCTCATTGGTAGCAGGGCATGCAGGTTGCGTGAGGCCGCCATGGCCAGCGAGTGACTCGATGTCGGACGGTGTGCTCGAGGTGGTGAACAGCACTAAAGGGGTGAGGCACACGCGTTATGCGCGACTCGCGACTCGGACTAGAAGCACGCGGATACAAACGCACCAAATTCCACAGTCACGTGAAATGGAGATACGGCTCCGAGGGCGCTTGAAAATCCAAGTTTGCATTTTTGGCGCCTGACGAGGTCCCTAGCCTTTCACCGCACGTCCTCAATACCCAAAATGCTACGAGTAGTGTGAGTACCGCTATCCATCCTAACAGATCTCTATTGACCGATTCAAGTAAACCCAAAAATGCGCGGTCAAAGCGCGCCATGCTTGCCCGAGAGCCGCAAGAGGTCGAGCCACCCAAGACATGTATTTTCGTCAAAGGCACGTCGACCGGCGAGCGTCTTAACGGGGTACTGAAAGATCTCGTGCGTCTTCTATTTCTCTCACATGAACCCCACTCACACGTTACAGATGTCGCTCAAGCGCCCAAACGCCGTCTCCTTTTCCAAAAAGAACGCTGTACACCCATTTGAGTCCACCGACAGCTTTACCTTCTGGTCACAGAAGAACGACGCTTCCCTCTTCCTCGTCGGCACTCACAGCAAGAAACGGCCACACGACCTGACCTTCATACGGATGTACGATTACCGTGTGCTGGAAATGCTCGAGCTAGGGGTAGAGGCGTACACCCCTATGTCGGCATTTTCTGGTCGCAAGCCCCCGCCCGGACACAGACCGTTGATGACGTTCGATTCCCCGCTATTCGACACCCACCCCAGGTTTCAGCAAGTCAAGTCGCTCCTTCTGGACCTGTTCAATGGAGCGGAGATCGATGCCATCTGCCTCGCAGGACTGGAACATGTCGTCCAGGTGTCGCTCGCTCCCCCACCACCGGGTTTCACAAATGAGAGCACGAGCAGCGCAGAGCTCCCTCTTATCCACGTTAGGTGCTATGCGATGCGTTTTCTCGCTTCTGGCCAGCGAACGCCGAGGGTGGAGCTAGAACCAATAGGACCATCGCTCGATGTTTCACTTCGCCGCTCTTCCCCGGCAGACGAGGACCTCTGGCGTCAAGCGACAAAACGCCGCAAGATGGAGAAACGCGACGTAGAACATGGTTTAGGGAAGAAGAGGAAGAACCTGGCTGTGGACGAGGGTGGGGACCTGATCGGACGCGTCCATGTTGGGAAACAGGATTTGGGGAAGTTGCAGGGGAGGAAGGTCAAGGCGCTCAAGGAGGAGAGGACGAAGAGACGGAAGGTGGATCACGACGAAGAGGAGGAAGAGTGAGGGGCTCTGTATTGGAGTGTGTCATGTCTCTGGTTCATGTCATGTTGTTTATTGCCACGCAGCGCTATTGCACTCTCTTTGGCGCGCATACAAGCCCTGTTGCAGTTAGATCTAGCTTTGAACTGCTCCTTCAAGCTCATCTCCCACTCGGGGGTATATGGATCCAGCATGTCGATGATTCCTTCAGAAAAGCACGGCGTAGTGCGCGGCGGACGGATTCACAGTTGAAGGTGAACCGCACCACCTATGCATTGTCCGTGACCGGTGTTGGGGACAACGTGATTTATCTCCGCCGTGTTTTTCGAACGCACAGAAACAATCCGGAAGTCTGCTAACATCTCCGACCTCCTGCTGATCGCTTGAATAAACACCGCAAAATCTTCATCTCAGATATAAGAAGGCCGGAGTGGTTACCGCGTCAAGCAGTTTCTCTTTCGTCTACCACCATATCACTCTCCTCCAAAATGCTGACTTCATCACTTATATCATCGGTAAGCAAACACTATTTGGCTGAAAAGATACTCGCAAACTCCGAACGTCTTTTATCAGAGATCACATGTATCTGGACGTGCCATCTATCACAGTGGCTTTGAACGAATGCAATGAGACCTATCTCATACCATTGTCAGAGTGTCTCGACTGGAAGGTCCGTATGGCTCACGTGTGTACCCTGATGGGAGTAATGATATGCTGACAAGATGCTTCTTCGATAGATGCTCCAGAACTCACTCTGGAACCTTTTTCCCAACTTTACCGGTCGCCAGTTCAAAGTATATGCAACAGATGGAAGCCGAATTCCGAAAGCTTTCTACATGCACTATGCAAAGGATAGTGCTCATTTCTATGTCGAGCTTAAGGGTACCGACCACATGATCTCCATGCATGTGGAGCTGCCAGAAGACTACGAGGGGTACTTCAATATGCACCTGAGCCCTACTACCAAACTGAGTGACGTGAAAAAATACATTACTTCATGTGTCGACATCTGCGTCGATGACATGCGTTTCAGGAAGATGAAGAGGCGACTGGAGGACGACGAGAGCATAGAAGAAGCTGAAAGCACAGAGGGTAATGTCATTACCCTGACAGAGCTGTAGAATAACGCTTGCATTGAAGCGCAGCTATTGTTCCTATGTCAATATCATATCACTGCATGTACTGGCAGATCAGCATCGTACAGATCGAGTAGGACAAGGATCGTGTGTATGGGTCAGAAACTAATATGTTCAGGGAAAATCACCTCTTAATCCTTTCCCAATCAATGTAGATGTCGCCAAACTTCCTGGGAAATGTCCACGACAAATGCAAGCTAGGCACGAGTCAATATAAAGAGGCATCGAGATGCAACTGTGGCTCACCTTCCTCTCCATCTGTTCCTCCGAAATATTATTACCGTCAAGAACACTCGCAAAACCACATCATGGCGAGATAGAGATACGCTCTTTCTTTGTATCACCGAGGCATCTCGCGGCCTCTTCAAGACGAGTCATGATGTAGTCCCGGTCTTCGACTTGAGCATTCTTGGTCGAAACGAGGCCCAGCACCACAGCCTTGTTTCTAGGGTAAAATTGCAATAGTTCAAAGCTCCTCGCGCGAGGTGTGTCATCTGTGCCAAAGCCGTTAGGACCATAATGAACGAGGTGCGAATCAAACTGACATTCCAGGTAGAAAAAGTCAACGTTCAAGGTCTCGAAGACTTTGACGATTTTGTCATAGCCCCATCCGCAAAATGTACACCGCCCTTGAAGTTGCCGCGACATAGATGTGCTCCAATCTTCATACATATCTAGCTTTCGTGTCAATATGCACTCGTTGTACAAGCGGACATAACGGTCCAGCAACATATCTGGGTCGATCCCGCAGGTTCTCATTCCGTCAAGCATCGGTTGACAACAGACAAATGCAAACATAGGCGCGTCGATTTGAACGTTTCGACACCCGGCTTCGTATAACGCATCAAGCTCCTCGCGATACGCTTGCGCAAGGTGCGCAAGGTCAGAAAAGTAGCTGTCGTCATCGTCGTATGCATCCTTCGTGTAGATATATCCGGGCACCAGGACATCGAACGATGGTCATATGACAACGTCCACGATAATTGGTAGCCAATCGTCCGTCATGGTTTACGATGATATTGCACATGTGGGAATACAGTGTCGAATATAGTATCTGGAGTTGCCTCAGTAGAAGCTGAAATGTCATGACATTACGCACAAAGGTATCATGATAAGCCCCGTCTCTCCCGTTCCGCCTTCTCCCTCTCTAACCTGGAAACCTGGATCTCGGCATCTGCCATGATCTCATTGAGATCTACGAATTTCTCTGATAGTGAATCGATCTGCAAGGTCCCATGAGTAGCGGTACATGGCTCTTCAATAAGAATACGGACCGAAGCGGCATAACCCTGCAACAGGTCCATTAACCGTCGTTCGATATCGGCGAACTTCCTCCTATTTCTCAGATGATGCTGCATCAGCTCTCGTAGTCGGGGCTTGAGAGCATCATGTTCTATCGATTGATCGAGAGACGATAAGCAAAAAACAACGGAAATAATAGAACACCTGCGTACCCGATAGTCGGCCCGCATTTACTACTCCCTTTCGTTCCAATTCCTTGATATCTGCCATGTCTCGATCCGCAGATCGTACGTCCACTTCGGCCTCGGCGAAGTATGCGACTGCTTCATCTGGTGTCAAAGAATCGGGAGGCGCCGGTTGGTCTTCTGGAGGCGGAAGAAGTGAGGCGTATAGCTCATCTAAGTAGTTTGATTACAAACCGCATTTCGCGTGATGGAGACTGTATACGTACAGCATGAGATAAAGCGCTTCATCGGCAAGTTATCCTTACAAATGGCAGCAAGTCGTTCTTGCGCCTCGTCGACCTCTCGCACCAAAGCATGCGTGGGTAACTTAACCTGCCGATTGGGAGGAAAACGTCTTCCGCTGGTGCCCGTTACGAGTGCCTCTAGCCAGCGTAGACGTAATTTGAGCGAGACTTCTGGTGTCATCTCTGGAATGTCTGTCACGCTCAGCCCTATTGCTTGCGACATCGTCACGTCCACTCCATCCACCTCCCGGCTCACATCTACCGGCTCCGTGTCCCCAAACCGCTCGTACCCCATGGGGCTCATCGACTCGGGCATGCGATTGTGGAACTGTGGGAAGAGGCTGGAAAATGCCTCTGGTCGGGAGACGCGTGGGGATCCTGGGTTGCCGGCAGATGACGGTGTATCCGACGAACGCGACGCGGTACGCTCAATCGGTGGTGCGCCTGCAGAAGCGCGTGCGGTATTGATATTTTGAGGGCGATTGTGGGGCGACGTGGATATAGGAGTGGCCATATTGCTTTTGCCTGATTGTGACCCGTTGACGACAAGAGAAGCGTCGCGGTCGCGGGGCAGTGAAGGAACATTTATTCACACAGGGTCAATGCGCCCTCATTCAATCACTCCCCGAAACGAAAGAATAGAATATTCCACCTTATACATTGAACACACATACTACAACAAACGATGCACAATTCCGCAGACACAAAAAGTACATATTATTAAGATTAATTAGCAAAAATAGCCTTGAGCGCAGCAATCTGTGCGGCATCAGGCATGGGTGCGTGCTCCAACTTGTTCTCCTCCTTGGCTCCGTGATCATCCAGGAACACAACACCGTTCGCATGGGCGGAGCGGACAGGCTTACCGGTCTTGGCGGCGTGAGCGCGAAGACGCTGGGAGTACATGAGTATCTCTCAACCGTGAATGAAAGCACGCACTCACGTCTAACTCGACCTGAAGCTGAGGCTCCCAGAAGTCCATCCGCAGCGGACGAATGCGCTGTCTATCCCTGGTTATCTTGTAGTCCAGCCTATCTAGTCCGAGAGCCTTGAGTGTCTTAAGCTCAACGAGTGAGAAGTCATCTGGGTTCTCGCGGTTGAAGTTAAACGGCTCTTTGATGGACACTGCAGGGTTCGTGATAAGCCGAGGAATACGCAGGCTGGCAAGAAGTCAATCCAGGAGACCGTTTGAAACACAACGAGTAATGACGACTCACTGGTTCTTTGACGCGCTGTGCAACATCAAAGGATGGAGGATGAAGACGTCACCCTTGTTCCCACAGCATTCAACAAATTCGTTACACTTGGGGATCAGGTTCTTGAAGGCGAAGCCACCACCCGAAGCCGGGTAAGTGCCTTCTGCATGATCGAGCAGATACTTGGCAGCATGCTGAATGCCGTCTGGTGAGATGTAGGTCGCACCGGCCTTCGGCTTAATATCAGCGAACAAGGGAATAACAAGGAGAGCTTGCTCCGGGGAATCGAGGAAGTGCTGTAGCGAGTGTGAGCAGTTGTACAAAGCCACACGCAATGATTACGCACGAGGAACCAGTCTCCATCGACGTGCCAATTGTCTAGTTCCCTGGGATTGACGTCCATATCCTTGTACTCTTCCTTCCCCAGGTTCACGATCAAGCTGCACAACAGGTGAATGAGACACTTCGCATGCCACCGTCGTCAACTTACCTATCCCTCCATTCATAAGAGGTGTCGCTGACACGCTCCTCGCCTCCCAGAAGGTCGCAGATGGCACCCCAAGCTCGAGGTGCAACGACGCTCGCCTTTTCAGCCTGGTGCCAGGGCATATTAGCGCGATCACGCGTCCAGGTTGACTTGTCTTCGGGGTTCATGCCAAGTCGAATCCACACTGCGTTGATCGTTAAAATGGCTTCTTCCAGAAGAAGTGAATTTGCTTACCATCTTGGGTAAACTTTTCCGACCATTCAGGAAGGAGCGCTCCTGGGATCTTCACCCAACCATGCTCGAGGAAGTGATCAACGTCAGCCTCTAAGCGCACATACAGTAGCAGGGACCTTGTCAGCTCTTGTCTCGGAAATTGAATCAAAGGTGACTCACGAGTCAACACCTGGTACTGCTTGGGTGCCATTTCCTTCTATTCGTCGGTGTCAAGGGATGCCAAGAGTATCAGATAATTTTGACTTCGGCAGCCTAATTATTGTTGGCATTGTCTGCATTTATACTGCTGGTTAAGGTGGAGATTAGTCACCTGACTTGGAGGTGGAGGCGGAATGGGCTGCCTAGCTAGGACATTCTCCGAAGGTCATATGCCGGAACAAGGGCGCCCCCCGCTTGTTCCCCGCTCAACCCCACTTGGTGCCCCGCTTGGTCTGGGCCACGAATATGCGGAAACATGGTGGAACGACTGCCATTCTTAGCACTACAGCGTACAGCTCATCACTTCGTTTACACTTTCTCGTCCCGGCTGCTGTCGTCCGAACCGGCCCGTACTGAGACGAGCTTGATGCTGGCCTTTGCCGGGTTTGGCGAATTGAAGATTTCTTCGAGCTCTTCCAGGGTCCTGCCTTTCGTCTCCACAAAAAAGAAGTAAACAAATACGAGCTCAAAGCAGTCCCAGAAGGCGAAGAAGGCATAGAACCAATACCCGATCTAGGTTTTCATCAATGACTACACGACGACATACTCAGGAAAGTTGCGCTCACATTGTTCAAGGCAACGGGGGCGGCAAAGGTGTTCACGAAACTGGCGATTCCCGAGACCATTCCACTGACACACATGCCCTTGGCCCGCATGTCATTCGCCATAACTTCTCCTGGGTAGATGGGATGCATCGAGGTGAATGCCCAAGAGTATGACACGCCAAACAGATAGATGAAAGCTATGGAAGCATTTGACGCTGAGGTGCTTCCAGTTTCCACGTACCCTGCTGCAGTGCCGGCTGCGATTGCTAGACAGATGATCATGCCTGAAATGCTGATGAGGAACATCTTCCGGCGACCGAGAATATCGTGGAATCGGCTGCCCGACACGGCAGCTACGTAACCTAGGACGGAATAAACGATATTGAGTTCGAGTTGAGTGTTCACAGTCGTGATTCCCACGTTGGACAGCAGTTTAGGAAGGTAATACGATGCGATACTGCAACGAGTCAGCTGGCCGGTTGCCGATTTCATGGATAGTCACATACTTGTTTCCCGAGAATTGGCCAAACCAGCTGAACGCCACATTAAGCAGCATCCTGTGCGCGCGTCCTCTTGTCCTGAATAGCGACCGTACATCCAGGAAGTTCTTCCACGTCAGCATCCCTTCCCGCTGAAGGGCTGCTTCCATCTCTTGCATCTGTAGATCCACAAGGGGGTGTGTTTCGTCACCGTTTGCGTGGAACTTGACAAGAATTGCTCTTGCTTCGGCAGCTCGTCCCTTGCCGACCAGGTAGCGGGGGGATTCGGGGCAGAACCAGACGCCGGCAACGACGATCGCGGGGCATACCATTTGCAGCCATAGAGGGAGACGCCAATTCACGTTGCCATCGTTGGCGAGGTTCATGTTAGCCCCGTACACGGCACAAGTCGCAATAATTGATCCCTACGCATATTTCAGTAAATCATCAACGAAAACCTTGAAATAATCTTTTCACCATGTACCATAATGTGTTGTATAATCCAGCAATTGTTCCTCTGTACAATGGTGGGGCGATCTCGATCATATATACAGGCGCTGCTGTTGTTGCAATAGTGGAAAAGAACGAGAGCAAAAATCTCCCGCCAACAAACACCGACAAGGTCGGCGCAGTTGATGTGATAATCGTGCCAACAATGACACCGATGCAGCCAAGGAAAATGGGAAGCTTGCGTCCCTTCCAGTCGGCGAGCCAGATGAAGAGTGATCCGACCATCTGACCGATGTTGAAGATGGCGAAGACGATGCCTGTAGCAGAATTTCCCTTGGGTGGAAGATGATAGTAACTTGTGTAGTTAGGGAGAGCGTTGATCGACCCCATTAATGCACCATCGAAGCCTAATCATGCGTAAGTGAGTTAGCATATCTTTCACTGTCAAGGAAAAGACAGACCATTCATCGTCGACGCAAAGAAGATAAGGAAACAGAAGAAATACAACTTCAAGTACCCAGGCCCGAATGGATTCGGGTTGTCGCGCGCCAATGCCGCAGCGAGATGCTCGTCCACGCCGGAAAATACTTTCGTATGTCCATGCTCCTGGTGGGCGTGTTCATGGTGTTCGACGTGAACCGGCTTTTCTTCAGGTGTTTGTGACATCTTCAGCTAAGGAGAAACGGATAGAACAAGCGCAAAAACGAAAAGCGGACATCCCCTGTGTAGCTTTAAGTCCGCTGGAAACACGGACCGGTGGCCCGCAGCCATTTAGAATGAGCAGCAACACAAGAGCACGAGTATAGTCCAAGTCAGGAGGCAAAGAATGCTTCGTGAAGAAGGATATCAAAGCATTCAGTACTCCATCCAACAACATAGGCGCTCTCATCAGGTCCAAGTCAGTTTGGAGCACATCAGATGCGACACATTGGGAAGGTCGGTCTAGGAGCCCCCGACAAGTCGCCAGCGTCGGGAGCCGCAGAGACAACACGATTGGCCAAGTTGGAAAAAACTGACAGACAAAAGAGTTTCTGAGTAATTCAGATATGGGCAGCGTGTACCGGGGCCCCGCATGGTGGACGTTGAGAGAAGATACACAGGAGAAGCACCTTCGCCATACGCTCGGGGAGTCGGTCCGGATGGGCTTCTGGACGATGCCCTTCTAGGAAAGAGGTTGCCATTGAGTAGTGATTTGGACGATACAGTCGTCATAAATGTGGTGCTGATGGTCTTCGATCATATGCTGTCCAGCTTTTGAGGTGTTTTGCTCGGTCGATACAGTGAGAGAAAGAAATCAACCATGGCCACCGCGTTCGCCTTTTACGGCCGAATACCTCCGAGCGTGCTGGAAGGCCCTGGAAATATGACAACCATCGTCATCTCCAGTGCAGCACGCGGGTCTGCTACAGCATCAATTCAACTACTCGCAGTCTTGGATCGAATAATACTTGAGAATGGCACCTAAGAAAGAGGGAAACTCGAAGAAGGAAGCCGGGAGGGCGCGGAAGGCAGAGTACGTCCCATTCGATGGGTCGTGCGGTTGACCGTTCAACTAATCGGGCTGTAGGACTGAACAGAAGAAGAAAGACGCTGTTACAGCAGAAAAAGTATGCAATCATGTTATTTCAATAAGACTGATAGCTTATGGTATCATAGGAGCGCAAAGAAGCTGCAGAATGGGAAGCTGGAGCAAAATCTAGCAAAGGGAAAGACGACAAAGAGGCGAAGCGTGCTGCGGACGCTGCACGCAAGGCGGAGAACGCGCGTCTCCTCGCTGAAGAGGAGGCATCAGCACCTTCCAAACCAAAGGCTGCGCCCAAGGCGGGTGCGAAGAAAGCTGCTGCGCCCAAGGCACCTGCTGGGCCTGGAGCGCTGGCGGCTGGGGGCCTGCAACTACCGGAAAAAAAAGAGGAGGGGAAGGAGGATAAGGAAATGGAGGAAGTGGTGGAGACCTTTGCCGCTACAGGACTCGATGACGCCTTGGATCTCCTGACGGCGATAAACGCCAAGAAGGACAAGGCAAGCATAGGCACCGCTGCTGGTCAGTTGGAGAAGCATCCCGAGGTGCGGGTTTCATTCGGCTGTGTGAGGATAGAGTGCTGAGATTCATTGCAGCGCCGCTTCAAGGCCGCCTTCAAGGAGTACGAAGAACGCATGTTGCCCAAGCTCAGAGAAGAGGTACGTGGGGCTGCTTGGGTGGCAATGCATGACGAGGGCTGATCGAATGCGCAGCGACCGGGATTGCGGTTACAACAATACAAGGTAGGAAAATCGGGCACTTCCTCGCTATGTAAGGGGACAGCTGACTATATATGTGTTCCTAGGATCTCATATTCAAGCAATTCCAGAAGGCTCCGGAGAACCCGTTAGTGGCCTTTTCCCGGTACACGTGTGTTCCTTTGCTCACTGAAGTATTTTCCGTTTTTGGTTCGTATTCGCCAGCTTCAATCAAGCCGCCGTGGAGTATAACGCCACGAAGGAAGAACGAATCGAGGTGCTCAATAAACAGAGGCGACACGTTGAGGACCGTTTACGTGTGGATGACTGATGTTCGTTCCTGTTACTCCGGACCATCATTCAGTGGGCGCGATTGTATACTCCAGGCAATGTCTCGTGTACAACAACCTTCTTTGCAATGTATGACTATTATTCACGTATTCAACTGTCTTGCTCATTTTTCCTGTTTGTATGTGTGATTCTAGCGTGCATACTCCGGGAATGTGCTATCGGAGCGAAGTATATCAGTCTTTTTCAGGACTGCGGGAACACAGCCTCCCAGACAGGTTTATAAAATACCTCCGACTTTCCTAGGCAACCAATATTTTCAGTGTTTTCCTCCTCTCTTCCTGTCGGTGACCAGAATGCAAACCCCTGCCTCCTCTCGCCCTCCTTCACTCACTATATCCATAGTATCTGAGCACCCTACAAACACGCTAATAATACCCAACCTACCGCCTGCGTTCTTCGCTCCTCAAGTACTCGAAGCCCTCAAACAACATTTTGCCACCTACGGCGAGATTTATGCTTGGACACCACTGAAGGGATTCAAGAGGATCCTGGTGGTATACTATGACGATGACGATGCTGAGGCAGCGAGGGAGAGCGACGGGGTAGTGATCGAACATGACGGGGAAAGCGTTACTGCCGCACCTGCTGCTGACTCTCTTGCAGACCAGTGGGTGCCCTGGCCAATATGTCTCTCGCGCGAGCTTACCCATCTTATCCCCAGCGCCCTGCCACCATTCACTCTCCGTGTGTACCGTGGTGATCCGATGACTTTCTCCCGTCAACCATCTACCCTTCGTCCTCCTGAAATAGAGCACAACTACCTCATCTCTCCACCCGGTTCGCCACCCGTAGGATGGGAACAACTCCGTGAAGAACCGCCGAATACCACAACTCTAGCTGAAGATCTTGCCCGAGCACTGGAACATCTCAAGCTTGAACGGGAAAGAGAAGGCATGGCTCATGAACCGCATGTTCTCGTCAGTGGTGTAGACGGCGCGGATGGCTTGCGACCCACTCCGCGGGTGATCGTGCAGGATGCAGATGCGGAGAAGGCGCAGCAGGATGAAGTCACAGAATGGAATCTGAGCTTACCCACACCGAGGTTGGAGAATGTCAGGACGGCAATGCCTCCAGTGCGGGGAGAGTGTGCTACGTAGGACAGAATGTGAGTGTTGCCTTCATGGATATTGCCTTGTGCACACCTCTACTTTGTGATGAGAAACCTTTACAGACCTGTTCTGATCCTTTGGATCTGAGGACATCCTATATTGCCTTTTTTTCTGATTCTTATTTCCCCCGTATCCTGACATTGAGCTTAAACTGACCCGCTTCCATAGTGTTTCCACCCCTTTATCCACTTCTGCCTCGTTCGACCAATCATCTCCTTTTCGGTACGGGTTTCGGTCTTCGCCTTCGTCACATGCATAAGTGTATCATCTAAAACATCGACATTTCCCTGTAATCCTGTACTTCTACCCCTGTAACACAAGCGAGATTCCGCTGTTATTCAATGTCAAGATGTGTAACATCCTTATCACCGCGGGTTGCATATCGAGCTGGTCCGTCACCAGCGTGTTCGGTAGCATCTCATGACGCTCTCGATCTCCTGAACACATTTCCCACTGTGTGCCTTATATGGCCTTTAACCGCCATCGGTTAATCACCACCCCGTCTTCGGTCTCCGTGTCTTCCGCAAGGTGCATAAAGGGGTTTCGAGTCCCTGACATGCTGTACATATCTATGTTTTCTCTAGCGCTGTCAATACTGTCACCAGCCTCGTCGCTTATCATCAACGTGGACATATCGAGCACGTAATCAATCCCCTGTTATTTGGGGCGCAGGTGCAAACATTCTCACCTCCAACCTTCTCTGAGCCGACCGTATACGCCCGCATGATAGTGAGACCGTACCGTAATCTCATTCCTCCGAAAACTTTCGACATTACGCGACGGTGATAAGCTTTCACTTCCATCGTTCTGTTAGTTTGTCGCTGTCAATCCAGCCAATAGCATTCCCTTATGGGTGCATTCCAACTCTGCTGGCCATTAATATTCCAACTCTGCGCAACGTCCCTCCTGCAGGGTTCGGACGCTGACTACCAGGAAACAACGTCATCAACCTCCATTTCTCCCTTCTGTCCGTCAGTCTGACCCCTCCGACGGGGGTTGACGTGCTCGGGGTCGTGGGTGCCTCGTGTTCAACTCCGCTGTCCACTTACCGGACCACCAGCTCAGCCCCTCGTGCTTTAATCGCAATCATCTATCGATCGATCCGCCCGATCTACCAACCTACGTGTCGTCAAAGCACGTTTTCATGCTCAGAAGGGCGCATTCATAAGCCGTTCTAGGGGCTTCTGTGCTTCGGCACTCGTATGGACTTACCAGGTGTGCTTGGAGATTGTGCGGCGAAGATTGAGTCCATGACGCTAGGGCACTGTTCGAAAAGGTATAAGTACTCCCCTTCAACTGCTCCATCCTTCCTCCCTACCCTCCCTTGCACAAGCTTCTGCCCTCGCTACCCTTCAAGATTTCCATACCCTTTCAACTCTGACAACATATACGATGGCTGCCAAGTCTTTTGATGCTCCCGTCAACACCTGCGACCATGAGGAGCGCGACGGCGTCCTTGTCAAGGTCTTGGATTGCAAGAAGGAGATGTGTATATTCAGCGTCAACTACACGTTCATGCCGAGGCAGCACTGAACGCGAAGCCGTGACTGGCGAAGTCAGAGATGGTAGGTTATTATTATGGTCGCTAAAGGTAGAACTAATGAAGCAATAGAATGACTTCAAGGGTCGATGTTCTCGACCTGGTGGTTTCGTCTCACAGTTCCTCTATGCACGGTTCCTCGAGCGGCGCGTCCTAATTCGTTCCTCCAGTCGTCCAACTCCTCCATGCAAACTCTATGACGCTCATGTTTATGCCCCTCCTCATGCCCTTCTGTCTCTCTCCTAATGGCTGTAACATGATAATGCTAATGGCTGGCTCATGTAAATCCTCTTCCTTCCTATCTCCACATCGTCTCAATGTAGTGCAACTGTGTTGTATCCCTACTCAACGAAATAGTACCTCTTATCCCACCGTATCATCTCATGCGCGAATAAGCTCCGTCGCCGCCAGCTGGTCATCCACCTGCCGCGGGATACTGTCCCAACATAGCTTCGGCCGGTCCAATATTTCCTTCCTTGCGCCCAACGTTCCAGCAAATACTTGCATTTTCACCTCAAAAGCCGTGAGCCGGTGACAGCGTTACGTCAACTCTATGGCGACGCATTGAAAGAAGTGCATGGAAGAACGTGCGAAAATGGCAGGACATGACTGATTATGTTTTCCCGGCGACCCCAACCGGAATATCGCGGAATATGAGAAGGCGTAGTTTCCACCAAGGACATGTCATTGGCAAGCACTTCTTGAACACAGACAAAAATCGATACAACACCGTCCAGGAATGTCTTGTCAAGTCTATCCAGACTCTATCCAGCTAGCTTTCTTGCGGAAGCGGTCCAGATCACGCGACTTCCTCGACGCCCCCTTTCTCCTTCCTCTTAGAGCTCTCCGCGAAAGCTAAGCTAGCTTTCCTCGGGTTAGGGGAATTGAAAACGACTTCTAGCTCTTCGAGTGTGCGACCTTTGGTCTCGACGAATAGGAAGTAGATGAAGAGGAACTCAAAGACATCGAAGAAGGCGAAGAAAGCGTAAAACTAGTAGCCGATCTATAAGTGATTAAATATGCGTTAACATTCACCTCGGGAAATGAGAAAAGAAGGGACGCACATTGTTCAGTACCACAGGAGCAGCAAAAGTGTTGATAAAGCTCGCCACGCCGGAAGAAATCTGCATGACACCCATGCCTTTAGCCCGCATATCGTTAGTGAGCACCTCTCCTGGATAGATCGGCTGCATCGGTGTCAAAGATATGGCAAATGTCGCTCCGAATAGATAAACGAAAAAGATGCTTGCGTACGAGCAGCTCGTGCTCCCCGTTTGAACGAAGCCTGCAGCTGTGCCAGCAACGATGGCGAGGCAGATTGCCATGGCTCCCACAGAGAATAGGAACATTGGCCGGCGGCCTACGGTATCCAGGAAACGGGCGCCGCCAGTAGCAAATACCCAGCCAACGATGGCATAAATGATGTTCAGCAGGAGTTGAGTGTCCGTGTCAGTCACACCAATGCGGCGAAGCATAGAAGGCAGGTAGTATGAGATGACACTGCCTCGACGTCAATTCTTCGGTCTCAATGTAATGAAGAAAGGACGTACTTGTTTCCCGCAAACTGGCCAAACCACGCGAATGCAATGTTAAGCATGATCCGATACCTCCATCCCGGTGTATTGAACAAGACTCGCAGGTCAAAGAGATTACGCCACGAAGTAAGCCCTTCTTTTGCCAATGCTTCTGACATCTCTTGCATCTCGAGCTCCACAAGCGGGTGGTTTTCCTCTCCGTTGGCGTGATACTTGACCAATAAAGCGCGGGCTTCTTCGACGCGCCCTTTACCTATCAGCCTGTGGGAGTCTCAGCTCAGACTCAATCCTTGGATGTACACTGGGACTCACCAGCGAGGGGATTCCGGGCAGAAAAAAATGCCAAGGAGAACGATTCCGGGGCAGAGCATCTGCAGCCAGAGAGGGAGGCGCCAGTCGAGCTCTCCGCGATCGGCGAGGTTCCTGTGAGCACCAAACACCGCACAAGTAGCGATAATAGAACCCTGCAAGCCATCAGAATTGCGATCAACACATGACAGAAGAGATTCTTTTCACCATGTACCATAATGTGTTGTATAATCCAGCAATTGTTCCTCTGTACAATGGTGGGGCGATTTCGATCATGTACAAGGGCGCACTAGTTGTGGCGATTGTGCAGAAGAAACTGAGCAGGAATCTGCCCCCCACGAACACGCCGAGCGTAGGGGCAGTCGCAGTGATGATCGTTCCGATGATCACGCCGACGCAGCCAATGAAGATGGGGATCTTGCGGCCCGTCCAGTCAGCAAGCCAGATGAAAAGAGCCCCAGCGATTTGTCCAACCTAAACTTATACAGTCAGCATGGTACGGGGGAGGGCAGAAGATCCATGCGCACATTAAAGATAGCAAAGACAATACCAGTGCCTGCGCTACCAGTGGCGGGGAGACCGTAGTAGTTCGTGTAATTGGAGAGTGTGTTGATCAATCCCAGAGAAATCTTCCAGGATGCCCTCGCGCGTCGTGCAGATGTCTATATGTCCGGTGTCATCTACCATGCCCTCAGTGAGGGATGCGTCATCGCGCGTCAACAGAGGACACGTACACACTTCATTCGCCATGGCCAACACTATCTTCATTGGGCAAGAATTTGCCTCGCTTGATGATGCTCGAAATGCTCTCACAGGCTTCTCCAACAGCCAGGCAGCAACCCACCGCATTAGCAAGAGTGATAAGAGTCGGCTGATTGTGAAGTGCAGGGTGGAGAGCTGTGGATTCTATGCATCGGTTGGGGGCAAAGACGGGGTCTTCCGTGTACGCAATCTTGAAGCCAATCATACTTGTCAGACACATGCTATCAAGCCTCGTGCAGCTACAAGTCGAACTCAGTTCCTTGTTGCCGAGTTGAAGAAGATCATGCCTGTTGATGGCCGAGTCAAGACATCAACCGTGATGGACACCCTTCGACGGCATAACATCAGTGTTAAGCCTCAGCAGCCTATCGAGCAAAGCGCCGATTATTGGCATTCACGTTGAGAATCAGCTGAAGGATCCAAACCCTCCCAGCTTATGCAGCGCATCTTGCAGCTTGCGACC